AATATTATAGCCTTTATCAATATTATTATTATATCATTTATATAATTAAAAAAAAAAAAAAAAAGAGAACAAAAATACTTAAGTACAACAGGCTCATTATAGAAACCTGTTGTACTTGTTGTGGAATGAGCAAACAATTAAGACAAACATGTTTTGCCCAACTGCCAAATGTCAAGTGTTGAAAATTCGCTGCGAATTGAGGCATACGAATATAAAGCCACCAAAATATAAATAAATCCAAAATAAAACATAAATCACACAGAATATAATGCGCAATACTTTCTGGACAGACCTCTTGCTGAGTTAGAAACTCCCTAACCTCCCCTCGCTGTTCAGTTATCTCAATGACTTAGAAAACTTAAGCCTGCCAAACATTACTTAAAAACCTACTTTTCAAAATGTGGTATTAAAACACAAAGTGTGTTTCTGTTGAACACGTGTGCCGCTGCCAGGACTTGGGTAATTGAAATTTATGATTTAGGGTCAGACCTGGTTGATGTTGCCCTCTGTCTGTATGAATGCAGCTAAGTCGGCCATTCAATCGAATTCCATTCGTATTTCGGTTTTATTAGAAAGTTGGCAAACTTAATTTAAATTGATTGACGCTTTTCGGGCGGCCGGAAATGCCATAGAGGTGAAACTTGTTGCCTACCTGTCCTGCCCACCTTTAGGCCAATATCTTTGGGTGTTTGGTCAAAGTTTCGTTTCGGCGCAAAACTTTTACTATTTGTGAAAAATGGCGTCGGCGTTGGCGTTGGCATTGGCATCGCCTTCTGGCCCAAAAGTTTTGCATGCCTAAACAAAGAGCGCAACTTTCAATAACATTAAGTATACGCAGCATGTAACCAAGTTTGGCCAACTCACTGCACCCAACTCATCGCACTCTCTAATCTGTAAGGACTCTCATTCTGTTGCAGCTGATTACGTTGCGAGATGGCAAGGTGGGCGTCAACTTTGCCGGCTTCCATGCCGATGCCGGACTGGGCGGCCTGCTGACGGGCAACGCAGCCCATGGCGGCCTCAGCGCCTCGGCGGGCACACCCTGGGGATCGCGTGCCGCAGCTGGCATTGGTGGCGGTCTCAACGGTATTTAACGCATTAATTGATTTTCATTTTGATTCCGAACTAAATAAATGATACCCACTCCCACACAGGTCGCACCGCTGGCGGTGCATATGCAGCGGCTCAGGCTAACGATGACGTCGGCGCCAGCGCGCTGCTTGGCGGCAGCGTGGGCGAGCATGGCTACATCGGCTCCGAGGCACACGCGAATGGACGCAAAGCCAGCCACTCTGTCAATCTGGGCACCAAGCAGGTCTCTGCGGACTCCGAGACCGTTGAGGATGCGCCGCCAGTGATCCCAACGGCCGGCCCAACCACCTACGTGCAGAAGGTCAAGCCGCCAAAGAAGTATTCGCTGATTGCCCAGAATGTAAGTGAAACTTATTAAGATGTGAAATGCAGGCCCATTGAGGTACCTCTAGGCATCACTAGATAAGATTGCATCGCCTGGCAAATAATCTAGATGCGATAGCAGCCGACATTGTTGACTGCCAACTGGAGAGTGAAGTTTTGTTTATTTGCAATTCTTTATCTGTTATCGTTGCGATTTCTCTGGTAGATGTAACCAGCCACAAGCTTCTCTTTCTTATTCATACCCTGACGACATTCAAAAGTGGGAAATGTGACGCGTTGTGTCGCTGTGGTCAGGTCTAACAGATGGACATGAGCATATCAACTCAGCTCATTAGACTTCCCAGCTTTGACTCTGTCTGAGTGATCGCAGCGATCTCGTAAACCACAAAAGTCAATTTAATTTAGATTTTTAATTTTTAAATTTAGAATTTATGAGATGCTCTGGTGCTTTCTAAAAAA